TAATCTTGAAACTTGACTTCTCCGCCGTAGACAATTTGTAGCTCCCACGAATATACTCCAATGAAAAGCACTCATCAATGATCCCACACCGATAAATCTTCTGCAAGCTGAAAGACACATAAAACTTTTGAAGTCTCTTATTCACCTTCTCTATAAAGCTCTCAAATACCTCACAAACGGATCAACCATTAATGGAATTCCCTGAGCTCTAGGAACACTTCCATAAGGAACTCCAGAACAATGCTCCATCAATTGGGCATGACAATGATGCTTATGGTCTAATCAAGGAGATATACCACATGAGGCAGTGCCATCGTTGTTCCACATAGGACATTGTCCTGAACAGGACGGAACCCGTTGCCAAACTCTTGATGGATAGTCCAATGACAAACCAAACTGAATTACAATCGCATGATCTGTGGCAAAAGCCAAATAGGCTCGAATCTGCATATGCCCAAAGGCTCCTTCTAGAGTAGTTCGTTTTATGTATTTTCTCAATCTCTCCATAGGAGTGAGCATTACAATAAAGCCTGGACCACCCTTTCCATCAGTCATCAAAGTTCCAGTTACCTTAGACAATCTTTCTATCATTTCATACTGCATGGCATAAGCCACTTCCAACCTAGACTCCTTTTCAACATATCTATTTCCATCAGGATACTGCAATGGAAAAACTGGAAATCCATCCTCAGCATAAAGTAACTCTTTTGGCAAAAATGCTCCAGATTTTAACTGGTCTTCTTCTTCCTTTTTGTATTGAGATTTCGGAGGAGCAGAGGCTCCTATATAAAACACTCGACACTTAAAAGCTCTAGCCAATCTTCCCAAATAATCAAACAATTTCTCAAGGAATCCATCAAAAGTTTGGAAATCTAAGTCTGTCTGTCGCTTGACAATTTCCTTAATATCATTTGTGCCAATCCGGATATAGACTTGGTTGAATTGGAAACCCTCTTTTAGTTTGAGATCATAATAGATCATATCTCTCAATTCTTCAGGAGAAAACGATTGTCCATATTTAAACGCCAACCCACTCACTGAGTACTAAAAGAAAAACCAAACATTAATTAATAGCTCAAAATCAAAACTTCTAAAAGGTTCAAACCTGATAAAGCGAAACTGGGAGACCAGCAAAAAGATGTGAAAAGTCGAAAACCGGTTTCTGAGTGCATTTCTCGGCTCTGACATGACCTACAAAGGTCTCCTTTTCTCCACCAAGTCGACTATATGAGGTCAAAGATGTCCCAATTATGATGACTTTAGGATTAGAATCATCTTGAACTACATCATCAGGGATTCTAGACATCTCCGGGGTACTGTACAGCCAATCTTGAACAATACATCCAGGCACTGGAAGTTGTATAGAATTGATCCTTTCCAAGTGCTCTTCCGTTAACCCAAGTCTTCTAGCTATATTCCTGCGGTAACTTACTGGATCCTTTGGAACAAATTGTTTTCCTTCCATGATCTTAGCCAAATTCTCTGCACATAAAATAGAATCAACAATTTTATACTAGAAAACTTTAACAAACTCCAAGATTAAGTACTAACCATCAGTAAGCCCTCCCGGAAAGAATTTAGGATTCTCTCGGGGTTTTCTTCGTTTCAATGAATCTGGAACACTAGGTAGAGGCAACGCTGCTCTCTTCACCCCCAAAACCTTAACGCCTTGCAAAGACTTGTCCGATTTTTCTGACGAAATTTCAGCCCTCACTCTTTTCACCCCAGAAGTCAATGCAACAGAAGATTGCTCAAGTGTCTTTAAAATCGACCTCAGAGGTCCAGGAGAAATTAAAGATGACACTTTTGGGACCACCGGAGTTTGAGATGGCGGACGTACCCCAGGAACCTTATGTTCTTTCACAAATCGACTCATTAGCTTCTCAAGTTTAGCAACCCGAATGGTGATCTTGTCCTTTCCACCTCCCAGCTGAAGCATCCAGACATCCTCTGTCAATAAACCAATTCCAAATTAATAACTAACCTTTAATCTTAAACCTAAAAAAAAAAAAAAATTGTATAAATTACCTTCTTGGAAAACCTTACAAGTTGAACCCTCTTCCAACCAAATGTCGCTCAATCCTTGTAATCTTAAAAGAATTGATGCCAAATCCCCTGAAGTCTTTCGTTTTATGCTCCCCAAAAACTCCGAAGCACTTAAGTCAGCTTCTTTTGAGGCAACAGATGCCATTTCCCTCTGAGCAGCAGCGATCTTTTTGTGTTCCTCCAAGTTCAACTTTTCTTCTTCAAGATCTTTCACAGAGGATCGCAAAGCTTCCAATTTAGATCGATGTTTAGATAGCTCTTTTTCAGACTCCACTATCTCAGACTCAAGTCCACGTTTAGCAATATTTGAAATACTACGTTTTTTAACCATCCCCGCAAGATCAAGCAAACTCTCCCATTCTGAGAAATCCAGATCTCGAAGAACTCCCGATCTCCCTCTTAAATGTAAAGGAATCATAGATTCATTTACATCACTCTGGAACGGCTCCATGACGACGTCCTCATTTTCTGAAAATTATTACAAACATAAAATTTATCCTTCAGGAAAACCGTTTCATTTTTTATCAACTCGCGAACTCTTACCATTAACACTTCGAGGAGAATTTGAGTCATCTATCATTAACGGTCCCTGAGACCCGGAATAATTGGAATTCAAATCTAAAATTTTAAAGAATCAAAATTTCAAAAAACACGTCTTCAAGACAACAGAAATAAGTACTCACCTTGACCATGGGAATCCATATCGAAGCCTTCAGTACCTCTCAAATTAAAAGATATCAAAACTGAACTGATTCTCTTCCTCAAATCCGACGAACGACAAAAGAAGCTCACGCAATCAACTTTGATGAATCTAAAAACCGAACGGAATCAATCTATATGTGGCCAAGCTATTCAACCAAAACCGAAAACGTGAATCCAACCTAATCAACTCTATCAATCAAGTGTGAAACAACCAACAAGAGAGCATGCTAATCAAACATCCCAAGTGTGGGATCAAATCTATCGCGAACAAATTCTTCAAACTACCAGTTCGAACTTCACCAACCTACGAGCCTGATCAGCTCTTAAAATTACAAGTAATCTGACCAATCGGTCTTCCATTTCAAATCTTTCACAATACCTAAAATTTCTCAATCACCGCTAAAAGGAGACTTCCGCCGATTGTCAGAACCTCCGACTCGCAAGATGGACTCGGGAAGACTGAAGACCCATCAAAATGTCGGCACTACGAAGACAACCCCCTGTTGGTGACGTCACGACCAAACAGCTGCATCGAAGTCGACACCGATTTTTCGCGAGAGCACTTTATTGCCTTGTTCCGCCAGAACTGTATTGCCTTGCTCCTCTATTACTTTATTACCCTGTTTTTTGTGAAAAACTGTTTTGCTCGCTCTTTTCCCCTCCCTGTAAATAATTCAGTAAAAGACTAAAAACAGTAAATCAGCATAAAGGTCGCGACTTCCTTCTGTTTCTTCAAACCGACAAAACTCGATTCTCTGAAACAGAAGGGGGGGGTTTTGTCGCAAATTTTTTAGTCCTATTTTTAGAAAAGCTAGATTGAGAACCCAAATTCTCGTCCTTGAGGACAAATTCCACTTTCCGTGAGAACCTTGGGAAACCGCGGTTCTCACGTAACTTACGGAAGCCTCCAAGGCTGCCTTTCTCTGCTAATCCTACTTGCTAAAACTCTCGTCCTTGTAGGACAGTTTTCCTGTTTTCCAAAATCATAATTATCTACACAGTCCAGTCTCTGCTTTTGAGTGTGCCGTTACTCCAAGAGTTCGCGAGCGATTTTATCGAGTGTCAATTTGAATCCTACGAATATATCAACGTTATAATAGGGTGTTCTCACCCCGGTCGTAGCCCGACCGAATTCCTGAGTTTCATTCTAAACTTTCATCCTAAAATTCTCTTCTAAAAAAGGTTCCACTACTCAACTCATCATTTGTTGGGTTTATTCCTGACAATACATCTATGAATGTTGAACAGAAAATTCGATAATCTTTTAAAGCTGTGCATTTCTCAAAAAAAAAAAACTTAGAAAAGCCTTGCTGTACAGTATCTAAATCCATCATCAAAGATCAAGTAAGCACGCACGCATCTATCACCTCTGAAATTACATACGTTTACTGTACAGACTGAACCACATCTCATCAACGCGGCTTTTTCAATAACTTCCAAAGCGTTCAGAGGAATCTACGGACCTTTCAACAATTAAATAAGGGTAATCCAGCAGATATTCTAGAAATGCAGAGCAATGCATACTGTTGAATGGTGCATTCCCACGCACGCGAACTCCATTACTAAAATTACAGGATTACCGTAAATCGGCATTCCTGTCTGAAATACAGAAATTATACAGTGAATAAAAAAAGTGATGAATAAAACGTAAAAATTTTCCTTTCGTGCTCCAAATGAAGATTCCCTGGGGAGATTCTGAGTAAGTGGCTTTAACCCACATGTCGTCGCCTGTGTACTGCAGTTTCAATATTATTGTTCGGAATTAAATTTAATTCCTGCTGCCCATGAGGCCGTGACAGTCACTTCGTTTCTTAAAACATCAACCAAACGTGAAACTTGTCCAATCGAATGGTCAATTGAACTTCGGAATTGATCAGCCTTCCCGATCAGCATCACAACATTCCTCTTTTCAAATTAAAAACAAATCATCGCAGAAGTTTTTCTTAAAAAAAAATCAAAATACGCAAACTTTTCATTTCCGATGGAAGAACATTTTCCGTAATTCAGAAATCGTGCAGAAGCAATTTATTTCAGAAGGATTCACGGATTTTCTTGGATTCCACGAAGGTTTCATATGGAATGAAAAATTTATATTGCAATTTTTTATTCGCGCAGTAAATAATCACTCCTAACTTTTTCATGCAACGTCAAACAGCATGTGCGCTTTCGGTCGTCTTTTTCTTCGTTTTTGCAGTAAGAACGACGACGGAAAAAGTTAAACCCACTAGATCTAGGAAAATTCGTGATAACTATAATTTCATAAGATTTACGACGCGCTCTTTATCTTCATCGTCTCCAGCATCTCTGGAGTAAGAACGACGAAAGAAAAAATCACGAACACTTGATCCTGAAAGATTCACGACAGTTATCGTAGTTGTGCATTCGAGACTCGCAAGAACAAAACAAAACAAATGGTTTTCAGAATTTTTGGGAAAACGCAACTTTATTGAAATTAATTTTTGATTCGTTAATTAATAAAAGCAGCAACAACAACAAAAAGATTCAACAGACGGTACTCACATGGCCTTGGCGGACTTCCACGAGGGTCCCCACACGTAGAATCCGTGGCGACGCACGAGGACAGCACTGGCCCATGGACAGTCAATGATCTCTCTCCTCATGGAATCAGTTAGTTGGTGCTCCCGTCGCGTATTTTCGATTATCGGAACGCGTAACGTATCGTCGTAGTCCCAATTCTTCTTCCTTTGCGGATCCCAGATGCCCTGAACAACAATGGAATGCGATTATTGCCAGGGCGTTCTTGACCCTCTGTCAATTAAAATTACCGCACTTACTCGAGTAACACTCACATCTTCTTTTTTTTTCGAGGAAGAAAATACGAGGGGGCGCGTCATGTGCGAATGCAAAAATTTTCAACATGTTTACAAGTTTAGGTGTACATCCTTGACACATTCCAACAAACATTTTTTGAATAATAGAACAATTAGGAATCAACTGAATACCGGTTCAATTCGAGTCAAAATTTAAATTCAGATGTGTGATCAATTCCAAGCGCGTGTATTACGTAGATAAATACGGTACAGTAGTATCATGTCCTTGAGCTGCCGGAACATAATTACAAATTGCAACACTTCCAAAAAAAACAAGCAAGAATAGCGGAATAACAGTCGGCTCGCGAATGCGCGACGTGTATATGTATGACATTTTTAAAAATTTGAATTATTTTCCAATCTTCCTAAAAAAAATTATCCAAAATTTTCAATGCTCAGAAATGTTAAATTTTCGCGTGGGAAATAGTAAAAATTCAGCATCCAGATTAAGAAAGAAGCCAGTCTCGCTAATTGTCAATAAGATTTATGACTCATTAGAAAAATCAACATAAGCGTAGAATTACATGAACAGTAATTCAAAAGGCATTAGTTTTTGAATGCATAAAAGCTAGATGAGAATAATAAATGCATCGACTTGGTATTACCAACATATACCAGTCATTGGTATACAGGGTGGGCCAAATAAAAGTGAACCCATATTTGACTTGAGATAGCTCCGTAGCAAATAGAGCTGTGGCAATGAAAAAAAAGCACCAAATGAAAGCTTGTGCTGGATTGCTCAAAATTAGTTTTACTCTAAATCAGTTCAATTCAATGTCATTTTCACTTAAAATCAGTTTCAGAAATCCAGTCATCCAGAAACAAAATGTGTGCATGCAGTGGGTCAACCAGGAGCTGCAAGGACAGCGCCCAGAAGCAGGCATGCACCACAGGAACCCCGCAGCATCATATCTTCCCAATGTCATTTCCCTTTCTCACCCCCTCCTTCTGAAATTTAGGAACATGTTCAGGCTCTTCCAGACAGCATGAAGTTTTCTGGTTAAATTATTGCATCCTGCATTTCCTTTATTCACGCAAACAGCTCTCCAGAATAGCAGCTTAGTGGGAAAAGTCATCTGACAAATTTCTTTTTGTAAAGTTTTCATTTAAATGATTCTCAGTTCTGTGGCACTTGGGACTATAAAACAACATACCATTTGAAAGAGAAATGAACAAGCTTTCATTTGGTGCCTTTTTCATTGCCACAGTTAAATTTTCTACCGAGTTAAAAAGTAAAAGATGTCTTCCAAGTAAAAGATCGGTTCACATTTTTTGGCCCACACTGTAGTGAACCATTGGTTTTACACAAAGCCATTGTTTAGTGTTGACCACTTGGGTCCATCCAAAATAAAATTCTTTCAAGTTTAAAATAACTTGTTTTCATACATTGGTTCAAAACCAGCTGCAGGCGGTACTGAAATTATCATGCGTAGGAAACCAGCTGAATCATGTGCGGTTGAACATGAACTGCAGCCATGGTGAATTACTGCACAGACGTCGATTCAAGTCAAGGATGTGGCTGCAATAACTTAAATATAATTACAGTATTCATCCCTGAAGCCGATGAAAACTCAATGAGCAACTCAAAAGGGCAATAAACGCGCAGGTGGTACTTGACCATGTGAGACACCCACGACTGCCACGAAGTGGTTCGTGAAGACTGGCACATCTTGAAACTTGTAAAACCCACAAAAAGGTTTTCAAAAAAGGCCTAAGCCCACCATATCTGAGCAGACGAGAAGTGCCGCGCCAATTAATTACCTGAAGTAATTCGGACTGCGATGACCTCACGTCCTCAATGCATTTAACAGAAGTAAAATCCATGCATTTCCGGACACCGAAAACTTACGAGTAACAAGACAAAAATTTGCAAGCAACAGAAATCATTCCCGTATCCTCAAGTTTCTCTTTTGACATTTTAACACGAAATTAAAGTCACGTTTCGAACTCAGACGTATTTCCATTGAAAGAATCCGGTAAAACCTGTACATTCGTCAATAATACGCAGAATTATCGGATCAATTCGGTCAAGCAGTGAAACGGACCACTTGAACGTTCCATGCCAAATAATTCATGGCTGATGTAGTTTGTTCTCGCTTATTGATGCCATCTTAATCAACTCTTCACGATGTTAATCTGAAAATATGAAAAATTACAGTACGATGGATTCGTTAGGGTTCAGTGTACATGTATTGGTTCGTTCCAGGCTCAGTCAAGTCATGTTTGGTCAGATTAAAAATGCCCGCAACATCTGACTTCTCATGCAGGAAATATAAGATTGGGCAAAAAAGTGCTATCAGAAGCAACAAGAGATAACTCCATACACAGGAAACTTGACACACAAAAACTCAAAAGCGAGTAAAATGTATTCGTCGCTCACGGAAGAAGAAAAAAAACCGGGAGATATATTTATAAGTATTCAAATCCCACAACCGAATATTTGCGGCGCTCAATATTTCAAGACAGCCTTCTGTTGGTCCATTCTGCACGTTCCTGTCATGATACTTTTCGACAGTTCTGAAGCGCGACAGAACTTGAAGGACACCCTCGACGACCACTCGTGCGAATGAAATCTGGAACTATACTTTACTCTCGTCAACCCCTTCTTTTCTTTCCCACTTCGTCGCCGCCGTCGACGTCGTCGTCGTCGCCGCCCTCCTTGTACCCGAAATGAAATACCCGGAACCGAAGCGTGACCCGGCATACAAAACCATGATGCGAGACAAGACAGGCGATCGGGTAACCACGTCCGGATTCCCGCGGGAGCTTCCGCATAAACACACCTTTCCTCTTGTCGCGGAGACGAAAGCTCACACAAAGAACGAACTCAGCTTTCGTCGGACGAAAATTAATACTGTACTGCGGATTCCGGATAAAAATGACACGAACTCCGAATAACAATGCAGCTCTTCTAAACAAACTCATCCATGATGAGAGAAATTACCTGATACTAGTCCAACCTCTCTGAGTCAAATTTCAAGGGACCAGCAGAAAAATTCGACTTGGGGAAGTTTCGACTTGGGGAGGTTTTGATTTAGGAGGGTTTGAAGTTGGGGAAACAAGCATTTTGTAGTGGGAAACGTAGAATTGCAAAAATGTTTAAATGGTGATATTCTAGAACTTACATTTCTTCTTAAATACTGAACTTGGATGAGAAAGGGGTTCATTTGCCCACTTAGTTTTTCACTTTTTTTTTCAAAACACATCAAGTTACTTTTTTATTGCTTTTCTCTTTCTTGTGCCAAGAAAATAATAGCGAAGAGGGCCTCAGAATTCGAGCTACGGAGGTTTGAGAGAAAAAGCCTTCAAGTTAAGCAGGTTTTCAATGTATTGTTGTTGGAGGAATTCAGACGGGGACTTGACGAAAATTACACTTACAGGAGGTTCTACTTATCGAGGTTCAACTGTAATATACAGTATCTCAATGAGAATTAACAATTATATCTAACAGCCCGTAAAAATATCCATGCTACGGATTTGGAAGAAGTATAGGAACAATGCACATCCGTTCATTTTTTAAATACCTCATCAAAGTTAAGACAAAAGACGCATCTCAATCAAAAGACTTCATCTCAATCAAAAGAATACCTGCCATTTTGGTGAACTTTTTGACTGAAAACTATCTCGAAAATAGCAGTCCTGAACTTTTGACATACGAATCCGTCAATTTATTATCATTCCATGTACTGTATTACTCTTTTTTGGCTATTGTCGACGCTGATTTTACTGTAGCTGAAAAACTGACCGAGAGACAGGAACGTAAGATACGAGATCAAATACAGAACAAGTACCGCTCATTCTTCCCCGAAATCAACGGCTCTTTCAAATAGCTCGACTCATTCATCAAGCAATTTAGGCCCGAAATAATAAAATACGCATTCCAAATGTAACGCGCGTCCAATACGAAAAGCATTTGAACAAATGCATTCATTTAAAACTTCCAAAATGCAATCCGAAGTGAGGTTAACAGGTACAGTACTGCACTCACATAAACTTAATTCCATCGAGGTGAATAACGAAGTCTGAATTAAGAGGGAAAATACTGTACTGTATTCTTCAAGCCAGTGATGTACATCATAACAGAAAGAAAAGCGCTTGACGTACTGTAAGTAAAAAAAAAAATTGGCACTCACTTTTATCATTTCCATACCCGTGATGGTGAACTCGTCCCCAGGATACAACAGGGTCGCCATAACAGCAGCCTTGGAATGGGAGTGGATCACACATTGAGCATCACGCACTGTTGAAAAGAGGGCAGAAATAAAAAAAAAAACGGTTTAGAATACTTTAAAATATATGCACGTTCGCTTACAAACCTTGACACATATCAAGGGAAATTCCGAGAAATAGCATAGCAAATAGCAGTTGAACAACGCTAAGTCGAACGTCCCTAAGTTGAATAAATCCTCAACTCGAATTTTTTTCAAGTCACTGTCTGGATTCCCATTGAAATAATTCATTAAAAACCTCCCTAACTCAAAGTATTTTTCTCTCAAACCTCTGTCAGTCGAATTTTATGAGGCCTTTTGCTTATTATTTCCTTGAAACATGAAAGAGAAAATCAACAAAACAAATAATTTTATGCATTTTGAAATGAAGTGAAAGACTAATTGAACAAATGAACCCCTGCCTAAAAGTTCAGCAAGCTGTAAACTCAATAAGAAGCAAGTTTAGGCCCAGAATATCCTGGGAAATCTCCAATTTCCCATTTTCCTCGCAGCAAAATTTTTTGTTTCCTTCCCTCAAAACCTCAAAAAATCAAAGCCTCCCCAAGTCAAATTTCTTTCCTGGTCCCTAGATTTCGACTCAAGAGAGATTCAACTGTAATATCAGTCGGTCAGGAATTTGTTCTTATAAAATCCGATCACACAACCATAGGGCATCGATCTGTTTTCATCAGAGTATGATGATATCAGACACTTTTCGGCGTGGATGATTGCGAATAAATATTCTACTTTGATCTGCCATGACTGGGTCCCAGGGTGAACCACAAAAAGTAAACTGATTTTCAAGCGGTGATATCTCAGGAAACCTTCCGCAGTCTGAGCTATATTTCAACAAACGATAGACATATACGTGATGTACTGTATATTAAAAATTCGTACATGAAAACTCAATTTCTTTTGTTTGATGCCCAACTGTATATACAGTACTATAAAATGGTGTCCTGGAAAAATATCTAAAAAACAAAAAATTAAAAATAAAGAATAAAAAAATCGCCGAAGGAAGAAGGAGCACTAGAGAAAAATTCAAGAAGCAACCGTCGCAAACCGGATGGCGCCAAGCAAGAGGCCAATCACAGAGGAGGAAGGAAAAATCGAGGAAGCGGGAACACACGAAGCTACGCGCGAAATTAAAAGTTGATAAAAAGTGTTGATAAAAAGGGGTGAAAACCCAGTAACATTACCCATTCCTGTGTGAGACTTCAGAGTGTTCGAATCGGAGTTTCGCGAGGCGCTTGTGCATTCAAAACCTGCTGAATTCAGTGATTTCCTTTTTGTTAAAAAAGAGTTGCTTTGACTTGTATCTTTCTACAAGTGAAATACAGTATCGTCAATCCATTAGCCCCTAGTAAACGGGGGCAGGCCGGCAACCCGGCTGAGTGCTGTGTTTCCCTTTTTTTTTTATCTAAAAATCCTCTACTCTTCTTTCGTAAATTCCAACCACTACTTTTCAGTTCACTTCTGTAATTCTTCAATCTTAGTAAAAACTTCAAGTGTTGTCTTTTCTCTCATTCTTTGCTTTGCTCGAGAACTTTAGTCTGCGGATAAGATTCTCGGACAAGCCCATCATCTAAAGCTATGGGATTTTTTTAGGATTGCGATTTAAAAAATTACAATTCACTGCATGATTGTAAGCTTCACAGTTATTGCCAGAGTTCTCCACCCATGTCAAAGAGTGTGAAAAATTTGTCAGATTTTGTTGGTTTTAATTCTTTTTTCTACATTTTATATAATGGGTTTTAAAAATTCGTTTTTTTTAGCTGGCCCAACAAGCACAGCTTTACACGGGTAATTTTTTTTTTAAAAAAAAAAAAAAAAAAAAAAAAAAAACAAAAAAAAAAATCAAAAAAAAAAAAAAAATTTTTTTTTCTCTCATCTATTCTCTCTTTGATTCTTTCTCTTTTCCCGAAATCACGAAAACAAGAAAGTGAACGATCAGTGAATTACCAACGGTGTATAAATTGCTGTGAAAGTGCGAATTATCATCGGATTTGAACCTTGTTTTATCAACGCAAAAAAATATATAAAAAAAAAAAACATCCACACAAAAAATAATACTCACCCAAAAATGCCGAGGGGAAGAGGAAAAGGTAGAATTCGTACAGAACCATACACTCCACGACAAAGTCCTAGAATCTCACAAATCATCTCACGAACCTCAACTATCGAACATATACCAACAACACCTGAACCACCACAATTGGATCTAAATGAAGAAAGCAACATACCAACAGACAATCCACCAATTCTCCACTTCAACCGTAAAGAAATTCTAAAAATCATACTCAAAATATCACAAAATATACGAAAAATCAATCAAATTCTAAAAAATCAAACAAACCAAAACACTGATCAGATTGAGAAAATCATTCACGATTTGTCTGACAACATGCTCGATCTAATCTCGACGGATCTGCAACCTTTTAAAAGAAACGAAAAAGCTCAAATACAAATTTTGCAAAAAGAAATATCCGAAATCACACTTCGCACAGCCACCGAACTGAAAGACGAATGGTTCCTACTGCAACCAACACAAAAAACAGTACTCAATATACCATTCTCGTTACAACCAATCTCATCGAATCAAACTAACAATCAAATATTGACAATACCGGAAACGACACAAACCGAAACCGATCCATCAAAAAATATTCAATCAAACACAAACAAGGCAAACGCAAATTTATCTAATGACAATCAAAAAACCAACAACCAGTATACAGATCTTGACCAACTTATACACGCACTCGCGAATCCCACTGAAAACGACAATGACATTCAAAACATAGCCAAATCTATCCAACAGAACAATTTATCATCAAACAATCTTGAATTGGAACTAATCAGATATGGGAAAGGAGCAAAATTATCCATGACCGGCACAACATACATACAAGAATATTGGAAACTAAAAATGTATCATGAATACTCCGGACTTTCAGATCAAGAACAAACCTTCGAAAATATGTGGCTAAACTTTCGTAAGATACATGAAGCACCATTCGATC